CCCATTATTAAGGGTTCCCTCCTTCCCTGCACTAGGTTTCCAGGTCTGTACACCTGCTGTGCCCATTATGAGGGGTTCCCACCATCCCTGCTGGATTTCCAATTATTTTATATTATGGAGAATATAATATGAGGAGCTGGGACATATAAAGGTGGCCAAGAAAAGAGACACAAATTATGGTAGAGAGATTTCACTATTGGAGCATCTAAGAAGTACACTGCCTGGCCCCAAAAAAGTCACCACCTTGATATAGCTAAGCACATAGGTAAGAGCTTCAGTTGGTCAGGTCTAGGTTCAGCAATGTTATGTCCCCAAAAAATGAGGTCAGCTGCCTACCTGAATATACTGAATGATCAGGTTTTTCCATCAATGGACTTTGTCTTCCCTGATGGCACATTGGACATATTCCAAGATGACAATGCCAGGATTCATCGGGCTCAGATTGTGAAAGAGTGATTCAGGGAGCATGAGACATCATTGTCACACATGGATTGGCCACCACAGAGTCCAGACCTTAACCCCATTGAGAGTCTTTGGGATGTGCTGGAGGAGACTTTACACAGGAGGTCCGACTCTCCCATCATCACTACAAGATCTTGGTGAACAATTAATACAACTCTGGACGGAAATTAATGTTGTGACATTGTATAGGTTTATGGAAATGATGCCACGGGGAATCAGTGCCGTAATCAAAGCTCCACTGATGTGATTTATTATTTCCCAACATTTGCACTGTAAGAAGGACCAACAAATCATTTTCTTTAAAAAAACAAACATTTTTATTAAAGCAACCGACACAGTTCCATCGTAACATGAAGTCACATTGTACATTGAGATACATTATTGCTCTACGCAGAAGCCTGTTCACTTCCCACCAGCCCATGGTAAACATTCACCAAACACATTACGAACATAATTCACATATTAAGGAGACACTCAGGTCAGACATGAAGATTAGCACAGACACAGGTGACACACAGCCTATCCCTCATATACATTACAATCTGATTGTACAATCTTCTTTAGATCTACCAAGTATGTAGTGCAAGGGCCTGTGTGATTGGATACAAATTGAATGGATTTTGTTTTCGGTAGCCCTCATATTATACAATTTTGGTAAATCTAAAAAACCATTGTATAGAGATTGGACAATATCAGATGGTGACATATATGGCTAGCTTTCATGTCATCCTAGAATTAAATCTGTGCTCCCCCCCCCCCCCCCCCGCGACTTGTCTCCTTTTGTCTGCTTCCTGCTTTCTTGTGCTGTTATAGTTCAGAGAATCCAAATTGCACAACCATACCTCTGAGACATATGGAAAGCTCACATACTCTCTAGGGTCCATTCACACCGTTGGGCTGCATTAGTGCAGGTTGTGCCATACTTCAATGTGCGTTAGGGCAGCCCATTCATTTGCATGACTGCCAGGGATGCAATAATACCGTTTTTTTGTAATCGAGTACCAATATTTTTTTTGGTACTTGCCACTACCGAATACTGATACCAGAAGTCCCATTAAGGAAGCCGGGTGGCGTGTAATGACTCGCCACACAGCTTCCTGATTTGCCGGAAGCCAACTCCATGCTCTCTCATCACCAAGTGTCTTGTGCTATGGTGACAAGGATGCATAGGGCCAGCTTTCTGGCCAATCAGGAAGCCGGGGGGTGGGTAATGACTCGCTGCACGACTTCCTGATTGGTCAGCTTCCCTTCCAATCAGGAAGCCCTCTCCATGCTCCCTCGTCACCAGGTGTCTTGTGCTATGGTGATGAGGGCGCATAGAGTCGGCTTTCTGGCCAATCAGGAAGCCAAGGGGGCGGTTAATGACTTGCCCCCGGCTTCCTGATTGGTCAGCTTCCCGACCAATCAGGAAGCAGCTCCATTCTTCCTCGTCACCAGGTGTCTTGTGCTATGGTGATGAGGAAGCATGGAGTTGGCTTTTTAACCAATCAGGAAGCTGGAGGGTGGGTAATGACTCGCCGCCTTGCTTCCTGATTGGCCAGCTTACCCAACCAATCAGGAAGCAGCTACATTCTTCCTCGTCACCAGGTGTCTTGTGCTATGGTGATGAGGAAGCATGGAGTTGGCTTTTTAACCAATCAGGAAGCTGGAGGGTGGGTAATGACTCGCCGCCTTGCTTCCTGATTGGCAAGCTTACCCAACCAATCAGGAAGCAGCTCCATTCTCCCTCGTCACCAGGTGTTGAGGAAGCATGGAGGCGACTTTCTGGCCAATCAGGAAGCTGGGGGGGCGGGTTTAGACTCGCCACCCAGCTTCCTGATACCGGACATTCTGGTATCGGGAATACTATATCGGGAATAGTACCGGTATTGGTGCATCCCTAATTACTGCAATGCAAAACTGTGAACTAGGCCTTACACTCCCAAAATGGTGCATGTAGTACACGGTAGTGCAATATTATGCACGGTGGTGTGCTACAACACATGTGCGTTGGAGTGCATTCAAAAGGAATGGCACTGCAACAGTGTGAACGGGGCCCTAAGGTGCATTAGTAGTACTTTGGCTTCAGTTCTACTTGAAATAAAGAGTAACAGAAGAACTAAAATCCTTCCCTTTCCTAAATTAATTTGACCAAAAGCCTAAGAATTTAGGAAAGCAATCTTTGCTGAGAGAGAAGGGTCAGCCAATCAAAATTTTGATACTGCCCTTAAATGTAGATCATGTGATCAAATGACTTAGCTTTTACTAAAGTGACCAGCAATGAAGGGAGCCTATAGCAGCATGTTCTCCAGAAAAAGGTGAGTGTTTCAACTCTTATGTTACTCTTTCTTTATCCTTCCCAGGCACCAGTCCACATATTTACACCATGACGCAGATAGACCCTAGCTACTTATTTGGTGTACATGTTACACATGCATGTGCCCGTTTGTGCACACATGTAACTGCACAAGCATAGGCCAGAACATGCACTTCAGGGTGCATTTTAAATATCTACACAAATATACATGCTCATGTGCTCTGTACACTTGGGGCTTCATTTATAAATCTTCTGCCTGGCATATAGCCAGGTGGATGCCGATTGCATGGTACTAGTGCCCCTAGATGGCGCTAACGAGTATAGGAAATTATTATACTCATCAGCGCCATCTAGGGGGCGCTAGTGCCATGTGAACGGCATCCACCCGGCTATATGCTTCATAGATGAAGCCCTGGATGTGACCCAACACTTACGTATAGCCCAAGTCACAATAAAGGCACCAAGAACTGAACAAGTCAACTCCCAGCTGGTGATCACAATCCACAGACGGTGATCACCTGACATAATAGTGTTGGCCAAACACCAGTTTGCCATAAAGTCTGCTTCTGCTCTTTGTTATAAAGGGGGAGATAGAGGTGGACTGCTACACTTTGTAGGCAAAGTGAATGGCTTTGCCACTTGCACTAATGGACAGTATAGACTTCACTTACATTGTTGGTCAATGTAGAACTGATCCCTTTCACTGGATGAGTGGAACATTGCTACCTTACATTCATGGTCAGTGTAGGTTGGGGATCAATCCAGCACTACTCAAGTAACCCTGAGCAACCTCTGGTGGAACCCTAGGGTTGAGTTCCATGAAATCCTGGTTAGAAAAGGCTGGGCTAATGCAAAACACTAATGCAAAACACACCAATGAACTATCTTCTGAAGGGCGTAATGGTGGCCTTTTGTGACCAAACTGGATGGTCTTGTGTCGAGAGAGGCAGCTGACGTCCCCCGGCTGACCACTTTTGGAGAAAGAAAAGTCGATCTGTCTGGTCTGAAGACCTCTAGTTACTACAATTTCCCGTGACATAAGGTGCAGGGTGCTAGGAGGTGTGTAGCCATGATCCTTTCACATAACCAGCTAAGCTCCATCAAGACAGACATATGTGTTATGTGGCATCCATCGAACAGACATGCCTTATTCGGCAGACCTCTGACTGTTCAGCAAGGAATCAGTCAATACCCGTTTGATCCCCACTGCTGTCTACATGATTCATTGCAGTTGAAGAGATACATGGCTGCCAAATTTTTTAATATAACAAATATCAGCAAAACAAGTATCTCAGAGGGAAACGGGACTATCTCCAAGCTTTGGAAAGTCTTCTTCAATGGGATAAGCAGTCTGCTTGCTTTATTAATCAGGTAATTAAGAACTAATCTGGGAGTTGACCCTTTAAAATGACCCTGAACTGTAAATGTTAAGGGCAAAGTAATAGGTTTGCATGACAGCCACACCACTCCATCACAAATGATTACCTTCCCTGCCTTCCCCTACCACCTCAGTCATTCATTGGGAGCCCCAAGAAGAGTCCTGCATATGGTCTGATTCTGTTTGGTTAGAGGTTATGTACTGAATCATGGGAGGAAAAGGAGAGAATTACGTGTCTCCCCCATATATGGATGTACCAGGGGTTCTGGTGGGCCAATGGGGGTGGCGGGGGGAACATGAGAAAGACACATGCCTTCAGCAGAGGGAACATGCTGTCAGCCAAAGCCATTACTTTGCCCTAATTCAGCAAAGTACAGGTCCACTTTGACAGGCCTCTGTGCTTTCAGCGTGGATTGATACAATACCAGCCGTTGTAGACTGTGTAATTATTTCCACTGGTGCACAATGTCACCAGATGTGACAAATGCAGATCAATATAAGTCCTGGGAACTGGGTTATAACATCTTTTTGGGCTTACAATGAATACAAATATAATTATTTCAAATATGGGTAGTGAGCAGCCTTTGACTGTCAAGGTCACCAAGGCTTTAAGCTTCTAGACTGATTAGCTACTATTGGCTATGGCAATGATCTTTGTGCCGGGTTAGTCAATAAACCCCTCTGGGTAACATCAGGGTTAAGTGTTGTTTTAGGAGGCAGAGTTGAGACTCCTTAGAGAAAACATTACAGGGTTAGAAAATGTGAGCCTCAGTCATGGTGGTAAAGCAGGTATAGATGATGGATGACACCAAGAGAAGGCACATGCACAGAAAAAGAAGCTGGGTATCACATAATGCCTCAGGTACTGGTCTAGTCTCACGATGACTGCCTCATTTGTGTGTAAGAAGCAGCTCCAATGGCACATATCCAGTCCCAGCCCAGGCACCTGCCGGAGGAATCAGAGGGCTCCTCATACAGATGCACCAACTCTTCAGGGTCACTGGCCTTTAAAAAGCTCAACATCGAAAATGGTGGAGCCTCGTCTCAGGCAATTTCTGCAGAGCCCATGTTGTCAGCATTGGATCTCGCGTTTGGGGTGGTAGGCAGACTCCTCCCATAACTGTCCTCCGACACCGACATGTCCATGTCTGCAAAAGAACACAGGATCATTTGGGTTGGATTGAAACAAATGTACAGCTTACAAAGTTAGGTGAGGCAAAACGAAGACATGATAATGGGCAAGTGCAACAACCCAAAGCATAGCATCTCAGTTAGAAAAAAAACTGCCTAAGATGGGCGAAGTGACAGGTTCTCTTGATAACACCTCCTGCACTCGTACTGACTTTTGCTGTGATTCCTTTGTCTGTGGGAACCCTGATTCTTCTCTGGGAATGGTAATATCTCCACAATGAAGTAAAAAACCCATAACAGAAACCTGATAGAAGTTTTACCTCTCCCCCCTTCTCTATATCCATAACTAAATTAGAAATATTGTCTCGGACGCATTCATTCTGAAGTCAAATTAAGGTGAGATACAAGAAATCATGTCTGGACATGGCAGACAAGGCGGGAAGGCTCGTGCTAAAGCCAAGACCTGATCATCCCAGGCTGGTCTGCAAGTCCCAGTTAGTTGTGTTCACGTCTGCTCAGGTAGGACAACTATGCTGAGTGGGTCGGGGCCCGAGCTCCCGTCCTCGAGTGTCTGACTGCTGAGATCATTGAGCTGGCAAGCAATGCCAGGACAACAAAAAGCATCATCCCCCCGACACCTCCAGCTGGCTATACGCAATGACGAGGAGCTCAACAAGCTGCTCAGTGGGGTCACCATCGCCCAAGGAGGAGTCCTTCCTAACATCCAGGCCGTGCTGCAGCCCAAGAAAACTGAAAGCCATGTAAACGCCATCAGTGATCTCTAATTACACAGAACCCAAAAGGTTCTTCTCGGAGCCACTCAGAAAGAAAAAAACGTTGTCTGGAGCCGGAACTTTCATTGTACATTGACTTGTGTAAGACAAGCACAGCAATTCCCACTTGCTTCTTCTATGAAATAAATGTTCAAACAAAATGACCGGGCCTCGCAGGGTTCCTTTGTCAAGGCAACATTGTAATGATTAGGGATGCACCAATACAGTTTTGTCGGTATTGAGTACGTGTACCGATATTTTTTTTCGGTACTCGCCAACACCGAATACCGTTACCGAAGTCCCATTAAGGAAGCCGGGTGGCGTGTAAGGACTCGCCACCTGGCTTTGCGATTAGCCGGATGACAAGGAAGCATGGAGCCAGCTTCCTAACCAATCAGGAAGCCGGGGGGCGGGTAAAGACTCGTATTTGGGGGGGTACTCGTACTCGCCCAAATGCTTCCAATATGTATCCCGGTATCAGGAAGCCGGCTGGCGAGTGATTGCACGCTAGCCGGTTTCCTGATTGGCCAGGAAGCCAGCACCATGCTTTTTCATTACCAGGGAGCATGGAGCCGGCTTCCCGACCAATTAGGGCTGAGCAGCGAGTCATTACCAAGTCATGAGGGAGCTTTGGAGCCAGCTTTCCACCCAATCAGGAAGCCGGGGGCGAGTCATTAACCACCCCCTGGCTTCCCAATTGGCCAGGAAGCCGGCTCTTTGTTCCCTGGTGACGAGGGAGCATAGAGCCAACTTCCCAGCCAATCAGGAAGCCGGGCAGCGTGTAATGACTTGCCAGCCAGCTTCCTGATACTGGAAGTTCCGGTATCGGGATAGGCAATGAGAGCATTTGGCCGAGTACTCGGTATCTGCACCAATACTGATATGAGTATCAGTGTTGGTGCATCCGTAGTAATGATCTATGGTCACTTTATGTTACCTTGTGACGGGGGGCCCTGAGAGGCCCTGAAATGTTGGTATATATGTCACAATATGTGACATTGTTCTTCACAATAAATCTGTGAGACCCAATTACATGCATGGGCTGATGGTGACTTCACATCCCAGAATACCCATCAAGGTCATGATGAGAAGGGACTCAAGCAATCAGAAAGCCCTCCAACTGAATCAGTAAATAGCACCCGGCCAATCAGGCACAGAAGGTCTTCTTATGTCTTCCAAGCTTTTCCCTTCTGCACCCGAGAAGCTAGAGTTCTCTTTTCCCCCGGCTTTGTTTTGCTGCAGAATTAGGTCCCAAGTATGAAAGCAGCAGGATGGAACCTTCACAATATTGAGCATCAGCACATCATAACAAGAAGGCCAAGAGAGATCGTTCCGCTGTACAAATCCCGTCACTCACCAGTTCTGAACGTGTTGTAGAAACTGGCATCAGAAACCTCATGACTTTCTGGGCAGCAGGAACAGCCCCTCTCTCTCCACCTAACGCCAGAAAAACAGAAAGTCAACCACCAAAAACAGTCACATGTCAAACTAAGCCAGAAACAGGTAAAACAACATGCCCGGCGTATAAGAGTCCTGACGGATAATCATCTTTACTTATTTCCTGGATTTACACAGCGATGACAACAGAGGACGTTTCACACTTCAAATATAAAAAAGCCCAAACAATTTATTTTTAGTTGTGTGCAGAGCAGTGTTCAGCCAGCGGGCCGTGGCCTCCCTCCTGCTGGGCCAATAGGCCGTGGCCTCCTTTATTATACTCCAACAGCTACCGTCGTCACACCAGGCTTGGACTTGTCTACTGGAGAACCAGAGGATCCTCTGGTGGGGCCCCAACCCATTGTATTTTGCAACAAGACTGGGTGCGAAAGAACCTGGCTGAAAGTACTCCTTGAATGGATTGATCTTCACCCGACAGATCTAAAATAGTTCTGGTGCTACTGCCCCGTGCAGAGTTAGACGTCAGTAGAAGAAAGACTGGTGGGCAGCATGCTGGATTGACAATCTTTATCTCTGGGTGATGCTGGTTCCTGTCCTAAGTTAAGTGCCACCACTGGCACCAATGATTTAGGGGGAAGGGGGCATTCTGCTTGGGACTCACTATTCCATTCACATCAGTGATTTGAGGGGCTATACTCCCCGGGGGCACTACCCCGCTGGTACCAATGATTTGAGGGGCTATTCTTCCCTGGAGGGCCACTTTTGCACCGACACCAAAGATTTGAGGGGCTATTCTCCCCTGGGGCCATGATTCCTCTAACATCAATTATTTGAGGGGCTATTCTTCCCTGAAGACCACTATCTCACTGATGCCAATGATATGAGGGGCTATTCTCCCCTGGAGGCCAATATTCCACTGACACTAAAGATGAGGGGCTATTCTCCCCTGGAGGCCAATATTCTACTGACACTAAAGATGAGGGGCTATTCTTCCCTGGAGGCCAATATTCTATTGACACTAAAGATGAGGGGCTATTCTCCCCTGGAGGCCAAGATTCCACTGACACTAAAGATGAGGGGCTATTCTCCCCTGGAGGCCAAGATTCCACTGACACTAAAGATGAGGGGCTATTCTCCCCTGGAGGCCAAGATTCCACTGACACTAAAGATGAGGGGCTATTCTCCCCTGGAGGCCAAGATTCCACTGACACTAAAGATGAGGGGCTATTCTCCCCTGGAGGCCAAGATTCCACTGACACTAAAGATGAGGGGCTATTCTTCCCTAAAGACCACTATCCCACTGATGCCAATGATCTGAGGGGCTATTCTCCCTTGAAGGCCAGTATCCCACTGATGCCAATGATCTGAGGGGCTATTCTCCCTTGAAGGCCAGTATCCCACTGATGCCAATGATCTGAGGGGCTATTCTCCCTTGAAGGCCAGTATCCCACTGATGCCAATGATATGAGGGGCTATTCTCCCCTGGAGGGCATGATCTCACTGACACCAATTAAATCATTTTCATTACCTCCTGGGACTGAAAGTTGTCGTCACCAGAACAGGAATAGAGGGGAAAAAATCCAATGAGGACATTTGTTATGGTGACTAAGAAGGGAATTCCACTCATGTCCTGTCCCTTCCTGGTTTGTCTATAGACAGGAAGTGAAGGGAAATCTCCCCAATGGGAATCAGATATTAAAAAGACAAAAGAAGATTCCACATTCTATCCAAAAGATTGCTTTTTTATATACACATTAAAGCTGAACTCCGGTCACACAGCTAAATAGACAGATAAAAGATATATATTGTAGCAGATTTAATCTGTATTTCTGTCAATCCGGACCTAGAATGTACACAGCTCTGGCACAATGCACAGCTCAGTCTGGCTGCGCAAGAGACCTGCTTTTTCTCTGATGCAATTCAGTAACACTTACAGGTCTTGTCCCTCTGCTAGTCTGTGACTGGGCAGTGAAAGGAGAAGCAGCAGACTGATGAACTTATCTCTCCTCCTATTCAAGCACATACCTCATAAACACATGAGTGCTGCTTCTCCTGCTCCCGGTCTAAGCTCTGCTGTGAAGGGGAGGGGTTGCATGAGGCATACACTGTAAATACACTAAATGTAGAGAGGGCAACTTCCCCACAAGGACACCGCTGCCGCCCCTCTGCGCCCTGCCGCCCCGTGGCCGAGCCTCGGTGGCCTTGTGGGGAATCTGGGCCTGCATACACTAATAAATCTTCCTAGGGTTCAGCTTTAAACATCAATGAAGTTACAATGATACAATGTTTTAAAAGATGAAATAGGTGACAACGACAAACAGGGATACTTTTGTATCACTTGAACACGACACTGTATTCCCTGGGGTTCCCTTTTAAGTGGTCTGACTATCCCAGCGTGCAATCTGATTGGCTGCTTCGAGTCGCTGGAAAGGGTAGACAGTTTTCAAAGATGGCAGACGTGACTCCAGGTATAGTGGAGGAGGCGGAACTCACCAGTGCAGAACAAAAATCAGAACGATCAGGAAGGCCGAAATGATATCTGTGAGAATCCACATGAGGTTGTACTGAGCCGGAGTCTGGAAGACGAGAGAGAGAGAGATCAGGTGACTCAGCGAGAAAGGGAATGGTGACACCACCACTGATACACAATGCGTATACAGCGCAATATTCTCCTGTGTGCAACGCAGTGCAACGCAATGCAACGCAGCAAAGATGATTTACAGTGTAGATGGATATAGTCAGACATTTGAAGCAACAATAATAAAGGCAACGAGCTGCAGCAGACGTAATAGACTTTAAAGGCTTTACAGTCAACAATCTTTAAGGTGCATCAAACGTAAAGGTGTGCAATGTCTGAGGGCCCATTCACACATACTGCCACCTGCGTTTTATTGCAATGGGACACCGCAAGGACACATGAAGTACAATTGTTTTCCAATTATGGGCTGCCGTTAAATGAACCAATGCCATTAGGTTTTGCACTGGACTACAAGACCCAGGAGGATTTGTGATCTGTACGAAACAGGGGACTGAACCTTCTCTGAGAACACGCTCAGATCAGCAAGGGATTTGCCAGTGGCTGGATTGTGATGTGTTGCCTGCTAGTCATCTCAGGAGAGAGATAAAACCTGAGGTGCTGCTGATGATCACTATCTGCTGAACAGTATCTGTGACTCCAGTGTCTGTGACTGTCTGCTCTCCTGCTGAAAGATTCTTCTACAGCGGTGGAAGCGCTCCATAAGGGGATCCAGTGACTTCTGTATCAGAAAGAGACCCTGTCAGCCCTTTCCTGAGTGATCGGATTCTACAGAGACCTGCTGCAAACATCGCTACTGCTACTGTGTGGCACAGGCTGCTGCTGCTGCTGGAACCTGAGGCCTTGTTCACACCAAGTGCGTTCCAGGAGCAGATGCAGAGCAGTTACAGAACGGAGCAAAACTGCGTCCAATGTATTCCAATGGTATTTAGTGCTCTAGTTCACACCGCAGCATTCAGTTCCAGGGCATGTAGAAAAACTGCAGCAAGCCCCTATTTTACCTGCTCTGGAACACATGCAAACACATCAATAACGCATGCAAACGCCCTGGAACGCACTAAAAGCCCATTCTAAACTTTTTTTTTAAATGTATTTTTTTTTCTTTTTAACCAAAAACAGCCCGGAACGCAGCAAAAACGCAGCACAACCCACTGCTCTGCGTGTGCAGAAACTCATGCAGATCTGGTCTGCATGTGGTGTGAACAAGCCCTGAAAGCTGTTGGCTGCAGAGGAGAAACCACCTCTTTTCACCTACCAATGCTGGGAAGTACAATCTAAGCTACAGGAGTGGTGAGAGGCCATTGGCCACAGTGATATTGTGTTTAACCATCTGAACAAGCAGGACTTAGGCCCCACCGACGGCTAGCCCTGTTAAATACCACTAGCCAGTAGATTTAAAGGAGAACTATGAGGTGAGTGCTTTTCACTCACCTCATAGTTCTAGCCGACCTGTGACAATGAGACTGTCACAGGTCGGCTCAGTAGATCGGGAGGTGAGCGAACACATACTGGCGTTCGCTCACCTCTCGATCCAGTCACGGCTCTCTGCCGTGACAGGGGGAGGGGCTGGATTCCCCCCTCCCCGCTCTGATCCGCCAGCGCTGACTGGCGGAACGGATGGGGGAGGGGGAGGGTACAGCTGGCTCTGCCTCTAGATCACTCACGCAGCTGGGCGGATCTCGACATCGATGTCGGGATCCGCTTCAGCTGCGGCGTCTCAGTATACCGCGAGCTGTAGCTCGCGGTATACTGAGCTTAGGGTGACTGGAGGACGCTAGTTTGTGTCCTCCCGTTACCCTAAGGAGAACTATGGGGAAAAACACTGACCCCATAGTTCTCCTTTAAGACCCGGGTCTGTTTGGACTGACACTTTGCCTTCACAGTTTGCTGATAGAAATGATATTAGTCAGTTCAGTGTTGTTTGCATATGCAGATAGGCAGCCATAGCTAAGATTTGCCTACATATTTAAAGTGCTTCTATGACTTGTTGTTTATTTGCCATTATTGTACCTGTTCATTTATGTATTGGATAGTATATTATTTGTTTAGTAAAACTTTTACAAAACCCTCACAAGATGTGCTGTGGATCCATTGCCTGAGGTCTATCACAGAGGTGAGACAGAAGTACCCGTATATTCTAGCGGCTCCTTCGGGGGTGAGCGCTACATAGTATATTACAGTAAGCCAATTTATGTCAAAAATATACTGTATATTAAAAGGTTCAGTCCACCTTAAACTCATATTTTAGTGTTTGGCAGCTGCTGGAGAACTATCTCTTGGGCACTCTGTTTGTGAGATCTCTGTGCTGGTTTCCCGGGTCTGTACACCTGATGTGCCCATTATGAGGGGATCCTGCCATCACTGTGCTGAGTTCCTGGGTTTGTACACCTGTTGTGCCCATTATGAGGGGATTCTGCCATCACTGTGCTGAGTTCCCGGGTCTGTACACCGGTTGTGCCCATTATGAGGGGATCCTGCCATCACTGTGCTGAGTTCCCGGGTCTGTACACCTGTTGTGCCCATTATGTGGGGATCCTGCCATCACTGTGCTGAGTTCCCAGGTCTGCACACCTGATGTGCCCATTATGAGGGGATACTGCCATCACTGTGCTGAGTTCCCGGGTCTGCACACCTGATGTGCCCAATATGAGGGGATCCTGCCATCGCTGTGCTGAGTTCCCAGGTCTGTACACCTGCTGTTCCCATTATGTAGGGCTCCCACCATTCTTGAGCCGAGTTCCCGGGTCTGTACACCTGCTGTGCCCATTATGAGGGGCACCCACCATCCCTGAGCTGAGCTCCCGGGTCTACACACCTGCTGTGCCCATTATGAGGGGCTCCCACCATTGCTGCTGGGTTTTTTATTTATTGTACTACAAGGAGAATGTACACACACCAGTCGGCAGGTACGCTTAATTCTTCCAGGTGGGCAGACACAGAGTCAAAAATGATGGCAGGGAGATCTCACTGTTGGAGCACCCAGCATACAGTATAAGAAGCCAGGAGCCGCCTCGGCCCATCAGGCCCAACCTACAATTACAAGATCAGTTTTTGGGTGTACTGACCCTTTAAATGACTGTAGTTGAAGATGTATTTGTTTTGAGCAAACAAAACAAAAGCGCCAAAAACGGATCATACAACTGAGGAATGCGTATGCGGGATTGCTAGGGGTGCTGCCCCACTTCAGCCAAGGGAACTGTGTAACTGGAAGACAAAAAGAAAGAGAAGGGCGCCCACCCTAGTGCAGATGGTTCTTTATTGTTTAAAAATAGCAAAATAGAGTGCAAAGGTACTCACAATGGTCGATCGATTAGAAGCATAAATGAGTAGTTCAAGGATACATCAGTTTAAAAGCTTCGATCAGCCTGTGTGCAGTCCATATTGGCACACAGGCTGATCGAAGCTTTTCGAAGTTTATTATTCCATGTGTATGGGGGCAGCTCAAATTCAGTGCCGCTCCATATTGGCACAGAGGCTGATCGAAGCTTTTAAACTGATGTATCCTTGAACTACCCATTTATGCTTCTAATCGATCTACCATTGTGAGTACCTTTGCACTCTATTTTGCTATTTTTAAACAATAAAGAACCATCTGCACTAGGGTGGGCGCCCCATTCTCTTTCTTTTTGTCTTCCATGTATTTGTTTTGAGCCTGATCTGGCTTCTTATATATTTGAGGACCTTTTTGTCAGCCTGCCCATCCTCCTGCTAAGTCCCACTCCTCCTGCTCTATTCTGTAGGATGAAAAACTAAATGGATGAGCCTACATGGACCTTGAGAATCCCACAAACAAGACCATGGCAGGTGGGAGGAGCTGGGACCTCCTGGATCTCTGATAGATACAAGAAACGAGTGGGTGAATGGACCATTGACATCTACTCAACATTATCATTCCAGCCATGGCCAGAATGCAGCCTCAGTTCAGGTATATTACCAGCAGGAACATGGGCTTATCCATCCTCTTGAGTGTGCGCACGGAGTTTGTGGTAACGGAATGGGCACCGGCACACCAGGCCAGGGAGTATAGCCAAGGCTCGCTGACCACATACAGGTTGGTGGTTATATTGGCAGCAGCATACATTCTGTGAACACAAGAAGAGAGGTCAATTGTCTGACATGAAGCGTGAGAATCTGAAGAACTCCGGCCATTAAAGACAACAATCAACTATTACAAACTTCAGTATCAAAGTCTAATTGTGAGGAGTTAAAGCACAACCATCATTATCAAAGCCCCAAATTATTACATGTACTCCTGTAACCCAAAAAAGAAGTCAAGCCAAAAAAAGGTTTATTCACATCACTTTTAAGTTCCATCAACAAAAAGCTCTACTGTTTAAAAAAAAAAAAATGATATACAGTACATAACCGAGTAATTGTCAGTCATACTATCACTGAAACTGAAAAATGGCCTGGCGATGAAGGGGTGTATACAAGCCTGGCAGTGAAGGGGTGTATACAGGCCTGGCAGTGAAGGGGTGTGTACAGGCCTGGACATGAAGGGGTGTGTACAGGCCTGGCAGTGAAGGGGTGTGTACAGGCCTGGCAGTGAAGGAGTGTATACAAGCCTGGCAGTGAAGGGGTGTATACAGGCCTGGCAATGAAGGGGTGTATACAGGCCTGGCAATGAAGGGGTGTATACAGGCCTGGCAATGAAGGGGTGTATACAGGCCTGGCAATGAAGGGGTGTGTACAGGCCTGGCAATGAAGGGGTGTATACAGGCCTGGCAGTGAAAGGGTGTATAGAGGCCTGGCAGTGAAAGGGTGTATAGAGGCCTGGCAGTGAAGGGGTGTATACAGGCCTGGCAATGAAGGGGTGTATACAGGCCAGGCAATGAAGGGGTGTATAGAGGCCGGTACTCGAGGGGTTAATCCAGCAGCACAGAGCTTTGTGGGCCCCTAGGTAACAAGCAGAGTGATAACTCCCAGCAGCTGGTAATGATGGGTTACTCCCGGATTTGGGGGTTTGCTGCAGAGAGTAAGCAGATCTAATGTATAATGTATTGTAGCGGCCGCGCCTGCTTTCCCAGATCCGGGTGACAGACACGAGAGGACATCTTCAGAGCCAGGTGCACGTGGGCGATCGGCAGCGTGTTACAGATGTGTGTGGGCCGTGACCCTGAGATCTATGTACACGGCTGAAGGACAATGTCAGAAAACCATTCCTGCCTTCAGATAATAGCTCGGAATGGTAATGTTTCCTGTGTGCCCATCCAATCCTAGACAGATGGATCCCGTGCTACAACCTGATCTTATGTGGGTGGCATTTAAAGTGGACCTATCAGCCCCCACTGCTGACTCTCACCCTGTGACTTACTACAAAGTTACATTGTACAGACTGATCACTGGGGAGTGGAGACTGAGGAAATGCCTCCTCCTGCCTGCAACAGAGTGATGGCATCATCTCAGCCTAGGTAAAGTCACGGACCTCAATCCCATTAAAATCCTGTGGTGTGAAATGAAGGAGGATATTGGAGCAAAATATTTTAAGGAATATCCAAACAAACTTAAGTGGGTTTTATATACAGGAATAGTTAAAATGCCGCCCAACTGCTGCATCTTAATGTATATCTCTAGACAAAACTAATTTTTTGGTTAGGGTGGGCAGGGTTAGACCCCCGGACGCCCCCCCGCCC